TAGAAGAGACCACAGTGGGTTTGAAGCCTGGGTTTCTTGAGTAATATTTAAAAAAAAAAAAAAGAAGCAGGAAAGAAGAGCCTCTCGGGGACCTGCGATGGCCGTCATGATCCGCTGGAGCCACCCAGGAGCCCCGCGGCCTCCTGGCACCTTGAGTGAGTGCACTGCACGTGCTGCCAGAGGGCGCACACGCTCAGGGCCAGCCAGTGCAGGCAGTGGCGGCCGCCTTCTCCCGGGCGCTCACCCTCCACGGTCTGCCGCATTCTTCTGATACCTAAGTCGACACATTACGTTACTATTTCAGGTACGTTCGGTATTTGTATTACTGGGAAACGGCCTCCACAGTAAGTCTAGCGAACGTCTGTCACCTCACACAGTTACAGGTTTTTTTCTTACGATGAGAACTTTTAATTTCTACTCTCATAGCGACTTTCAGATGCACAATACAGAACTGTGGGACGTTTTTCTTTGTTTGGGTTTTTCTCCTTCTGTTTTTAATGGAGGGCCTGGGGACCGAGCCCGGAACCAGGCACTCTAAGCACAGGCTCTCCCGCTGAGCTGGGCCCCCCGTCCCCACAGCAAGCAGACAGCACAGCTCTGTTACTCCGGTCCCGGTGCTGCACGTCGCCTCTCCAGGGCTTGTTTATTTCATCCCTGGAAGTTTGTGCCCCAACTTTTCTTTGCAGTGACTCTTAGCTCCCTCCACTTTGCACACAGTAGATACATTTTTGTTACATGACCGAGTGGGCCTAGCATAGCCCTTGGGACAGAGATGGACCTGTATTTTTATATATAAGTGGCTTCCTCTCCTGTTTCCCTTAGCTATGCCCCTGGCAAATCCAGAACAGGAATAAAGCCAGAAACTCAGCTAAATAATTTTCTGCACCAGTGAACTTTGCGTTGGCAGCTCCATTCTTTGAATATCTCCCATATTTTTCATTAAAATATTATTGAACTTGAGGAAAAGGTACAACGTAACGAGACACTTGGAACTGGAAGTTCAGTCCGGGTATCAGATGGCGTCTCATCGCCTCTGAGCTCGCCAAGTCCCGATGGAGAAAGACAAACCCTGTCCCTGCTTCACCCAAAGACAACATGCACAAGGCTTAAGACAAGCACAAATTAACCACCGCTGTGCTCCGAGTTATTGTCTTAGGAGTCGACGCTGGGCGGGCACTTGTTTCCCTTCTCTTTCAAAGATTCGTGCTGGTGATTTCAGATTCTGAGAATTAGGTTCTTCCCTCCAAATGCAGGAAGGTGATGAACTGCCCCCCCAACCCTGCCTTCCTTCCGTGCTGCTCACACGCATCCCACCCCCACAGGAGGTGGAGGCTGCAGAACAGTGACCAAGGTCACCCCCTCCGCAGGCGCCCTCCCTGGACCCTGCGGGCTGCCCAGGCAACGACGGGGGTGGGGAGCTCACCCAAGGGCAGGACTGGGGCCACAAGGTGCATTTCCGAAGGCTCCCTCAGCAGCCCTGCTGGCACCAACGTGGAGGACGTGAGAACTTGAGCCAGTGGGGAGATGAGGAGAATGCACCTTGCTCTGATCAAGTCCCCTCCGTGGAAATGCACCCCTGCCCCGCCCCACCGCTCGGCACATAGGGGCCCCATCTGCAGCCTTGGGCCCCTGCGGCCTCTGCCCCGCACAGAAGGGACGTGGAAGCCTCCAGAATCCCAGGGACACGGCTCAGAGACAGTCCACGTGCCCTGACAGCCCTTCCCAATCCAGGAGAGCTCGGCTCTGCATGCCCACCGGTCCGGCTTACCCATCACTCCGAGGCCGGCGGCAAACATCAGTGAAATCCCGATGGGGAGGCCGACCACGTAGTATCCGACGGCGTTGACGACGGCGCCCACCTTCTGGTTCCCGCTGCCCCGCAAGACGCCGCCGCACGTGCACTGCGGGCGGGGCAGGCGGTGAGGACGTGGCCGGGCCCCCGGACGTTCACCCTGGTCTGGCGGGTGGGCGTGGGGG